CATTTGAAACATCGTTTCACGTCGGCTCGTAACTTTACGCGACAAATTGTCCAGCCTATTTTTATGCGGGATTTTACCAATATGCTCTTTACGTCAGTAATTGCCATTTTCACGAAAGCGCGGCATTGTTCTCTACTATTCCCTTTAGTGACGTGTACCTTCATCTCAGCTGTTGGATTTTGGGTTGCTGAACGTATAGCGGTGATGACCTCTTCTTTATCGGTTAGACAATCCAAGTCGCGGATCTCAATCGTTGCTTGCGGTCTTAGATCTTTTACCGTCGCTATTTCTTTCAGTGTTTCTTTTATGGATTCGCAAAACTCCGCTTTCTTTCCGCTTTTTGCGACTTCAAGCAACACTGCCAGAGCAGTAGTCTTGCGAATGGAGTGGATCGCAATTTCCGTTTTCTCTAATTTTACGTTGTTCTTTAACGACTTAAGAATATCTGCGTATCTTCTGCCTTCTACTGGCTTTATGAGTACCACTTCAGGTTTATCTTTAGGCTCTCTGCGCTTAATCCTTGAATTTTTTCCTTCCGCTCCCTTCTTTGGCGGAATTTCTACATTGTCCGACTTTTTATTGTTTTCTTGGGCGTTTATTGCCCTCCTTCTAGTAGCGATTTGCCACTTATATGTTGGCTTTTCGCAGTGTTTCTTTCCATTGGCTTACACCACTGGGCTAGTCGCGGCTCGCTTTTGCCGTTGTGCGGTCGGAGTGTCTACTATATATACTATATTCAATATATTCATAATTATAAATTTCATAATATATCATATAAAGTATTTTTTATTAATAAAATTAGAGAAAAAACATTAAAAAAAATTTCAAATTTCAATGTGAACTTGCTATGTCTGAATTAGTTCACATAACTGAGCACGTTCTGTATATTATTATGATGTTTCATACATTTTTCTTTGCTAATTGGGCATTTTCTTTTTGTACCAGCTTAAGCTTACGCCGCAATTGGAAGACTGAAATAAATAAAAATATATATGTAAATATATATCATTTAAAAAAGAAATATAATAAAAATACTTACATTATGTATTTTTGTTTTGTTGTTTCTTGTTTTGTTCCTGCCGACGTTGGCGATCTTCTTCCTCCTGACGTCGCCGATTGTCCTCTGGCTAACGTCGCCGATTGTCCTCTGGCTGATCTCGCCGATTGTCCTCTGGCTGACGTTTTGGAGGCTGAAAGATACAAATATGATAAAATGTTATTAATAAACATATCAATAAAAATGTATGTGCAAAATATGTGCCAAATGATTGAATATTTAAAATATTTACATTATAATTGATCACAGGGATCATGGGGTAGCCCATATAAAGTACTGGAAATATATTTTGGTTCTGAAATAAATAAAAAAACTTATTATTTGTTTAATATTTATATATTTAATAATTTAAATGATAAATTTAATTATAATTCAATTATAAATTTAAATAAAAATAAAAATATGTAATTGTTAAATATTATATTTGTTATTATATAATTGTATAAATTATCGTAGTAATAATTTATTTGTATTATTTTGTAAATATTATTATACTAATAATTTTGTTTGAACTATATTTTGAAAGATTAAATTTAAAAGAAATAAAACAAATAATTAATAATGAAATTAAAAAAATAATTATAACTGATTTAATATATTCATCAAAATTCAAAATTATTCAAAATAAAGATTGTCTTACAGCATATATTAAATATCCTTTAATAAAAGAAATTTGTAAATTATATGAAGTAAGGGCTATTGCTTAATTTGATTGAAAATTAATTTTAGATAATAAGATCGCCAATTGTCAACAAAAATGTACTAATATTAAAAATTATAAAAAAAGAAATTAATAAACATTATCGTTAAATTGAAAAATAAGAAACATGTTTGTCTAAGTTGTTAAATGCTAAATCAGAAATGATTGAATGTAATAAAACAAAAGAAAGCAACCTTTCATATTGATTTGATATCCATCTTCTCCCTCCCAAAATATTAGAGGAAATTGCAATGCATCATATGAACGATGAGTATCTTCAATTGTTTGCCATGTTTTATCTCTACGCATAATTTTAATGTCTCGTTTTTCAAACTGTTCGCCAACTATTACAACAGCGATTTCATTTATAGTTGGAGCGTTAAATCGTCGTGTATGTTCTCCAACTGGTACTTTGTCGGCTTTGATTACAATCATGTAATTGTCATTTTGTAATCTGTTCGACACTCCTTTGAACACTTTCATTAACTGATTGTTCTCATTTACAAACGCTTCTAAAGATGCAACTATTGCTTTTTCTGCATTTATTTCAATATGATTATAGTTGCATCTTGCATTTACTCTATCTTCCTCACAGCCCATGAAGTAAATTTGCAGAAATTTAGGGTCCTCATCGGGCATCGATAGTAACGAACCAATTCTATGATAAACCTGACCTTGAATTTTGAAAGTTGTTTCAACATTGAAATTGTTGTTACTTGTATTTTTAACTACCTTTGTTGCTCCAAATGAGGTCATTTGAAAGCACGAATTAAATTTTCGAATTTTTTTCAAAAATAATTTTGACTCATATGTTATGCCAGCTATTAATGTTTTCAATGGCTCGGGTGGTGGATTTAATGAAAACAATACCACTTTTCCTGATGCGCAACATATTCCAGGTGTTTCATTTTTAAATTTTAATGCCTGACAATATCCACATTCAATATTTATTTCGCCAACTATAATTTTGGGATGTGCTGAATAATCTATTACTGGATCATATTCAAATGCAAGACGATTGAACGATGACTTTGTCAATGCAAGTTTTTTTGAATGCGCTCTCAATTTTGTTGCCTATTTACATCAGTTACGTGTTGACGCGTTCGTCTATGTCGTGATATATCTCCGTTAAACCGTTGGTTTCTTTGATTCTGAGTTTCATTTAAACGCAACTGCACCATCCGTTCCCTATCAGTGTCATTGTTTCGCAAATGTTCCTCAGAACTTCTGGTTTCTCGTTTTAATCGCATAGTTTGACTTCTCTGTGTGTATTTAGAAAGATTTGTTTTTGCTTTAAATCTTGACATTTTTTCTTTAAGCACAGCTACAATTAATAAGAAAAATATCTTTTTCCTCTATTCTAATTATTAAGCAAATGTAAATAAAAAGAAAATCAGTATCAGAAACGGAAATTATTAAATTTATTATTTAAGTTAAAATTATAACTAATATCGAATGTTTTAATAGCCTATGTTACGCCGAAAAACTATATAAATAAGCTCTAAGAGTATCAAGAAGATTAGTTAAGTCATTAAAAAGTTATTGAGTAACGAAGAGACGAACAAACCTTTTTTATATATATGTAGATATAGAACACAATGCAAAAGACATAATAAAAAAATATGTAAGATCAGTAAATATCAACAATTTTAAAGTAATAAATTATATTGAAAATGAAACAATCAAATTTCAGAATATAGATATGTTAAAATATAATAACGATTTTAATAAACACCACATTACAATAATTATTATTTTAAAAATAAAATTAATTTATATTTGATCAAAGAGTAATTAAAAGTCAAATAGACTTTTAATGTTCTTATTTTTTTTATATTTTATTTTATTATACTTTATTTATCATTATCCAAACTTACACTTTTACCATAAACAAAAAAATTTTCAAAAACTTAACACTGATCGCACAATAACCTTCCGTGACAAAAGATTAACGCAAACTAAACAATGCTATAAGCTTCGCATTTTTTTGGTTTGTAATTGGGAGGGTAATTTGTGGTTTGGAATTTAGGGATTTTAAATTGTTCCTAAGGTGGTTAGTATGTAATCCTGCATGCTAACTAAGGTTGCACATACACAACTGCCAGGGAGCCTGAAACAGTTCTGTATGCATACTTAAATAAGATATAGGTGTCACGTATACTTAGTGCTTTTTTAATACAGACCGCATATAAAAAAAAACATAGGACAGAAAATTAACTGAGGGTAGCAGCTATCCTGTTAAGATCTGTATACATAGATTAATTTAATATCAATAGATATATACTTAGTACCATTATGTTAAAAATGGTGTATGTTATAAAGTTGTGCACATCCCGGGGATAATGAGGTATATTGTGCAGCAACCACCCTACCATTTTCTGGCACATGCCGTATGCACCTAGCTATTGGCAGGGAAATTATTATACTAAACGCCACGGAGTATCAAAATGGTAGTTTTGCGTTTGCGTGCTTGAAGTAGGATTAAATCGTTATGGATCTTTTAAAAAATCATAAGTAATTTGATATAACTGCTTCAGCATAAAAAAGTAAGGAGTTGGATGTTGATGTTTTGATATAGCATCTTAAAATTAAGTATAATGATATTCTAATTCAGCTCGACAATACAACCCTAGGTCAACACCTTGGTCAGAATAGGATTCTGAATAACGTTCAAGGGTTACCATATAATCGGTAGTGCTTGGTGGCTGCAAGGGCGAATAGTTGGGACCAAGCTAAACAATATCTTAAACTCATGTGGTACCGTTCGATGGCTCATATTCAGGAACTCCCCTGGTATAAGCTTAGGGTATAGCATGTGGTATTTTTCACCCTCAGGTATCTGACCATCATAAAATCCATGAGAATCTATCTTAGATATACATGTGTTGAATTTAAATCTAGGTCGAGATGTGAGTTCCAAACGAGTTAAAGCTTCTATAGGTTGATATGTTAAGACGAATACAGAAGAAGACCCTTTATTATTTTTAGCTAATGGGCCAGCTGCACGACCTGAGCTAGGCTGAACCCCAAGACCTGACTCCCCTCCTAACCCTGCCAATCGGGCCCGTGTAATTGGAACAAAGACTGAAAAATTTACAGTGCTTTTATCCGCCGTCCCCCGGATGACAGAAATAAAATTGGTTTTTAATGCTAGTACGTACAGTACATTTTTTGCAGTTAAAAACAATTCTCCAACTTTAATACGAATTTTACCACGACCGCACGCTTCAATTGTTTTATTATCTGCAAGACAAACTTTTTCGGAACTATATAAGAGATGTGTAATATGAGCGGTCACAACACATGTGAGTAGACGCTCCACTGTCAATGCACTTCGATCTGTAAGTTAGAGCACTGCTCTCTGCTGTTGCTGCTACTACCCGTAATAGTTTATGATTACCTTTCTTTGATTTTTCGCTTCCCTTTGCCATGAATAATTTTTGACTTCCAGGTTGTAACTAAGCTGTTTATATTAATAGATTTGGTTTAATGATATTTTTCAGATTAAAGGGTGTAGGATTGTCATCTGCTTCTATTAAAGATCCATACAGGTTTGATATTTGGGCTGTTTTGTAAAAGTAATTTCTTAGATTTGTTGTTTGCTGTTGGGTGAGCATTTCAATGTTTTCTATTCCTCTGCCTCAAAGTTTTGGGGATACATTTATTCGCTCTTTTGAGGCTTTAGGGTGGTGGTAATTAAATTTAGTTAGTGATGTCCTTACGATTGTGTCCAATTGTTGCATATCAGTGTCCGACCAGTTTATGATACCAATGGAGTACGAAAGATAAAATATTGCTTAAGTGTTAATTGCTTTTGTTAGATTTTTGCTATTTAACTTCTTTTTACATATTTGAGTGATTCTTTGTGTGAATTCTTTGGTTATTGCATTTTTTGAACTGCATGATCAATTGTTATGTGTTGGGTAAATCCCAAATATATGTTATGTTCAGTTTCATTAAGTGCTATTATCTGTTCATTGTTCATTGTTATATATGATCCCACCTTTGAGTATTTCCCCTTTTTTCCGGGTTTGTTGGTTTCAATGATAGCGGGTTGAGAGACAAACAATATAATAGCGGAGTCAACGAGTCTCCTTTGATAGATTCCTCGTTTAATTACTATTGGATTTGAAGGACTGCTACAGTCGATGTGTGTTTTTAAATTGAGCGTAGTTTTCCATAATTTCATAACTCTTTCAATGCAGTTTTTGTATTTGGGGTGTATTTTGTATAGGCCCCATAGTTCTAAAAGCCAGGAATGCGGGACTAAATCGAACGCTTTCTGCTACTCAATAAAAGCAGCGTAAAGATTTTTCTTGTTTTATATAGCCTGTTTGGTTATAATACTATCGGTTACCAACTGGTCTTTGCATCCTCTCGTTCCTTCCCTACATCCTTTTTGTTCTTCAGCGAGAATGCTGTTATATTTACAGTGGTTGTTAATGGCTATTGAAATGCAGGATGTGAACATTTTATATCCTGTATTTAGGCACGTAATTGGTCTGACTGGGATGGATTGTCTGGTTTCTCAGTTTTAGGTATCAGATATGTTATTCATTTGGGCTATTTAGAAAATTGTTGAAAATTTGTATTAGTAGGGCATGGCATATAGTGTAGTTAGGTGTTTGAAGTAGAAATTATGTACTTTATCAAGTCCGGGGTGCTTCCAGTTATGTAGCTTTTTTATGGCTATCTGAAATATTTTGGTGGTAATAGTATTTTCAGTCATTGAAGCGATGTTATTTGCTTCTTGGTGTAGTTCTTGCTTCCAAATTGCGTTGGTGTTGTGCAGAATGTGGGGCAAACCCCAGATGTTATTCCAGAATGTTTCTATGGCGTTAATTTTCACTTGGTTATTGTTAGTGAGGTTATTTGTTTGATTGATAGAATTATAAAATCTTCTCTCATTATTATTAAAATTTTAGTTATGCGTTGCTCTTTCAACGCTTTTACAGAACCGTCGTAGTTTGTCAACGACTTTGGCTACTTTTTATTTAGCAGTGTCTAGTATTTGTTCAGTTGTGGCGTTAAGAGCTTCATGTTGCATATGTATTAGATATTTTCGTTTTATCCTATGGATTTTATTTTGTTTTCTTTTGTTTAAATGGTTATTTCGTTCTTCATTGAATACTATGTCCTTTCTCAATTCTTCTATTTTCCTCTCAAGTCTTCTAAGCCACGGTGGGTTTCGGTTATTTATATTGCTGTTTTGCTTCCGTCTTGGATTACGTAGTGGTGTCCTGTTGCTGAATTCGGTATGTGAATTTCTGTCATTAAGTTACATGTGATTTATTCTATTTTGTACCCTTCTATTTCGCAGTTCATTGTTGTTACTACGATTTCTTGTTCTTCTATTAGTTAGTTGCTTGTGGTTGTCATTCTCACTATTGTTAGAGTTTTGTAATCTTGCATTTTCTGGCTGAGCGTTGTTAATATTTGTTGATATTCTGTGATTTATTGATGTTCTATTATGGGAGCTATTGTGGTAACTTCTGTTTGTGGTTTGAGTCTGATTTTGCACGTTTCTTTTAGCAGTGTATTAGCTCTTTCGATTGTGTATGCACTACAATAGAGAAGATCTAGAATCTTCATTTGGTGGGTGAATATTGGCTGGAGTATGATCACTATTGTTTAGAACGGTTGCTTTGATTTGATCTCGAATTAATGTTGGGATTAAATTATTTCTTTCTATTGCGGCTCGTCTGTCGGTAAGATTTTGTAGAGTAACTTGGTTCAAATGAGGATATTGTTCTATAAAATATCCGTGCATTGCCTGCCTATAACCAGTAACATGGTCGAGCATTGCCACATAATAGGGTTTGAGAACAGCTGCATTCATTTCGTGGGTCCGTTTGATTCGGCGCCGTGGCAGTCTTGCATTGGTGGGCTCCATCTGTCGCGGTGCAGCAACACAATCTGTAGGTGAAACATTTAGTGGTGTTGTGTGTCGTTCTCTTGTCGTGTTATTTTCACTGTGCTGTGTCTCATTTATCGCACGGTACCCAGGTACCAAATTATTATTATTATTTTTAAAAATATTATCATTATTATTTGAATTTCACATCTCAGCATGTGTTATTGCTCACCTAATAAATTGTGTTGCTCCTTCTAAAGAATGTTGATCGTTTTCATCACCATTGCACATGTATGCAACAAGATGTATTTCTGCATAGTATTTATTAGAAGTTTAGAGAGTTCAAGTATGTCCATAGAGTGTGTGAGGGTTTTGGGTACTATACCAGTGGCTGATAGTATTATTGGTACAACAACTATTCGCTGAAGTCTCCAAATTT